ACACACACACACACATCAGGAAAAAGGAGCATGAGAAACTGGAGAAATACCAGGGCCTCAGAGAGGAACTGGAAAAGACCTGGAAGGTGAAGACCACAGTGGTGCCTGTGGTCATCGGGGCCCTCAGGGCAGTCACCCCCAAACTGGAGCAGTGGCTAAAACAGATCCCAGGAACAACATCAGACATCTCWGTCCAGAAATGTGCAGTTCTAGGCACAGCTAAGATACTGCGCAGAACCCTCAAGCTCCCAGGCCTCTGGTAGAGGACCCGAGCTCAGAGGATGAAAGAGACCACCCGCGGAGGGTGAGAAGGGAATTTTTTTTTATACTGTGTGTGTGTGTGTGTGTGTGTGTGTAGTTTTAGTTAAATTTCCACTTTCAAATACATACTTTTCATTCTTACAAAAAAGCAGCAAAATTCATAGATCCAGTAGTTAAACCATGAGATCTGCCCTGCTGTGCACAAACAAAAGAYTTTTATACACCATCCTGAACAAAAAAACACCAAGCTTCAGATCATTGTGGAGTAAGACTGCAATCTCCCCCCTCGCCTTGAGATATCATCTGGATTTCACAGTTACAGGTTTCCTTCTGCAGAGCAATAAACTCTCTCCAGAAAATTTTTTGCACTCAACAATTGAATGGGATTTCATCTGTGCAAGCTAATATTTTCAACCAGTTTGAAACTCAAAAGTTTGAAATTAAGCACACACACAAAAAAAAATCTCATTCAAAAAGGACATTTTTTAGAGACTTTAGAGGGAAGCTATAAATTATGTAAGTGTTATTATTTTGGACTAAGAGTCACAGAGTAAATATACAATTTTTGGTTCTTCTTAAAATTTCTTTGAAAAAAAAAGGTTTTAAATCAGTCAGGCTGTTTGGATAAAAACAAAATAAAAAGAGTAGAATAATCACCCATCTTAACAAAATAAGACAGTGTGAAGACAATGACTAATGAGATTATTTAGTGCCTCAGAAGTTACATTTTCATCGTTCCCCTCTCTTTTATTTTCAAGTCAAATTGGTCACACGCTCAGCTGATGCAACTATTTCCACATTTAGCTCGGTGTGATTTGTCCAAGCAATGTTGTCTTGGAAACTAATGAAGGGCTGTCTGCCCACAGGAACCAAGGTTGTGCAAGTGGCAGCCACAGACGCAGATGACCCGACRTACGGGAACAGTGCCCGGGTGGTCTACAGCATCGTTGAAGGACAGCCATACTTCTCAGTAGAGCCAAAAACAGGTAGGTGTTATTTTATCCCACCTGYTTGCATTTAGCAGAAAATGACAGACAGCGTGAAGACGTCTGCATWGATGGGTCCTCATACTGATTTGAAGTGAGCTCAGAAATGAAGAACCAATGTCAAGTCCTTTGAGTTTATTCATTCTTTTTGCCTCTCACAATCTGGCACTTATCTAAAATTGTTACAGGAATGATGGCTTTTGCAAATCATGGTGAATAGAGTGACACACGAGAGATTGGAATTTCTAACTTTTACCTGTTGAATAAAATGAGGCTGTTGCATCTTCTACAACACGATACTGTATTTATAAAAAAAGATTGACTATTAAAGGGTTAGTTCAGGTCTTTCAAAGTGAGCTTTTTTAAAGTTATGAAAAATTAGTACATATTTTACCTTTTTTAGCTTTTTGAAAAACCTTAAGTTTGGACAAACATGTGTTTATTCTGACAAGTTAATAGGTACTGTAGACCATGTTGGACCAAGACCCAAGTAGATTGCTGTTGTGAAAAAATAGCATTTACAAACACTATTTTATAATTCTCACACCCCATCAGTTTTACATTCCAGCCATTGCAGCTGAAATATAATGAATAAAATGAAATATAATGAAATTCTGGATGAAAGTGCCCCACGCCGCTCTGGAAGTGTTACAACCAACTGCAACCCATCCTACTGACCAACCGTAAATGAAATTCACAAAATAAAAGCTCCAAACAAAACGTTATACAGGGTCTGTTACAAAGGTCAATCAACGATATTTATATCTGGTACTATATTAAATTTTCATAATGTTTTCACAGAAACTCACTTTAAAACATCTGATTTATTTCTTTGAGAAAACTTTACGTGAGATAAAAATCTTTCTTACAAAAAACTAAGAACCAAAGTTTCCTTATTACTACTTTTTTCATTCATAAAGTACAGTGAATGCGGCAGGATTTGAAGAGGGTTGAAAGTAAAGATTCTGAGGATGGATCATTTTAATCAGATCTACTCGGGGTAATGAAGCATCAACTGCGCATCAGGAAACTGTTTTTCTCCTCTAGTATGTAAGGCACTTCAGTTAGGTGTTTGCAGATTACATTTAAATGATGCGTAGCATTTCTGGCAGCAAAAATGGTCAGCTTTTGTCCACTTTTTTTGCTCCATTGTTGTCGCCTTGAGCAGGACCTTGGTCTATGTGACTTTATGCGCGCTACATTGCTGCAGAATGGAAATGATGGAACTGCTCCTATTCCTCCCACAAATACTGTATATTCTGACACTGACAGAGCTAAAAAGTGGCATCTCTATATGTTTAAGCAACATAGAAATACGTGTTTCATATCAGCAGGGTACCTCAGAGCATGAAGTAATACGCCTCTTATCAACCATCATTATTATTGTTTGCTATTTTTTCTAGTCTCTGCATAATAACCTCTTTTTTGTTACCAGTCATCTCATGTTGATGAACTAGTGATTAAAACTATAATGAATAACCTTTCTTACCTGCTTGTTGCTGATCAGAGTACATTCTGGACAGGTCACCCTTTCATCACAGACAAGACACACAACATTTTTATCACGCATTAACTTTGTGACAATTTAGAGTTGCCAATTGACCTCGCATGTTGTTTTTGGTTTGTGGGAGGAAATGAGCATCTGGTAAAAACATCCACACAAGCACGGGAAGAACATGCAAACACCACGCAGAAAGGCCCCAGGCGGAAGGTTAACCTATGATATTGTTGTTGCACAGCAACAGTAATAATCACTTGTTCCACCATGCAGTCAACACATCTTTCAATGTAATGCGCTTTTTTGATTTTTTTATTTTAACTTGGTCCTTTTTACTACTATTGCTAAATAAATAATAATAATAAAAAAATCCTGCATTTCTGTGTAGGCATGGCCACCCTTTCTCCACATTGTTGATATTGCAAGTTTTCCAAAATAATTTTATTATCTGTTGTCCTAAAAATATCCCCAAAAACACAAAACAGTTTCTTATTCTTCATCCTCATTGAAACACAGAAAATGACCTTGAGCACTGCAGTAGCCACAACATCCATGTACTGTAGATGGGGCTGTAACACTGCCATGAAAATACAGCAAAAACAGGAAACAAGGCATTGAGCATGTGCACAAGATTTGCATGGTCGGTGAAAAATAGAAGCTCAAGAAGAGGACTCAGTGATGTTATAAGCTAGTTTAGGCTATGGCTGTCTGTATGAAATGCAAGGGTGGTGTGAGAAAATTCTTATACTCAGGAATCTGTTTTGAGAAAATACAGTTAACATAGTTAAAATTTTCAAAAGCAAGCCAARCCTTAATTGGGGCATATAATTCAAAATCCACTTTTTTCCCCTGTTTAATACATTTTGTTGGTTCCTTGGAGTCTCAAGGAGTGCAGAAAAATGGAATTCAATCTCTCACAGCACTGCATAAATACCTATATTCTGTTTAGGGTAATACTTTTCAATCTGTTCAGTTTTCTCCATTTTGTAGGAAGTTTTCCGAACTATTACATCACAGCATTTGTGACAGAACAGACATCTAAGGTCTGGACTTAACAACTACAATTTGGTCATTTTCATTCTCCTCTCACTCTGGGTCAGACTCTGGCTCCAACATGAACAAGTTGTTGTTGTTGACATTTTATAAATTAGTAGTAAATCCCTCTATCGATCTAAAATGGACCGATCTGGAAGCTGGAGGAGGACAGAGTGGAAATGYGCTTCTTTTTAATTTAAAGAGACAGCATAAAAACGAGATGATCTGAGACACTCCTCAGAAAAGGGGTGAAAGAGGGGCTTGTAAAGTTACCACAACAAGGAGTTCAGATTAAAGCATAGCAGTTTCACTTTATATAGACCCCGACTRAATGATTTAAATTTGACAAAAGAGAATTTAAAAACATATGTCCACTTTAATGCAATAACTGGATCTTTACATTTTCYAAAATGCATCAAAGATAATTGTCCAAAATTCAGACAAATATTGTCAAAGTAGCAAAAACAAATATGTTGTTTTAAGTTGTGGATCAGTTTTCTACCCTGGTAAAAGTTTTGATGTTTTAAAAAAAAGCTTTCAGTTAGATTGGAAGTTTAGCTATCATATCTTGGTTGTGTTGCTGTTCAAAATCGACCATTTATTTTTTTTAAATAGCTTTTATTGTATTTTCCATTATATGTTCTTTCAAGTAATACAAATTTTGGCTTCACACATTGCTCATTCACCTGACTCTAGCATTTGACGGTGCCCATTAACTCTGAAAACACATCTTACCCTTAAGGTTTTCCCATCAGCAGATAATGATCTTTACATCAAAGCTCCAGATAATGGGGGCTGGAAACTTTGCTGTAGCAAGTGCCATAATGCTGCATAATAAAGATATCTGCTTTAAAATTGGTCAGCACCTTAGACTTGGTGAAAAACACATTAAAAATGCTGCAAGTAAGCCATGAGGTAGTTTGTTGACTTTTGGGGCATTTTATTTGGAGAAAGTGCAACAGCAGTCCTTGCTACATCTTCATATCTGGCTCATTAGCCACAGCCCTGCTAAGGATTGGCTACCTCATGCAAAGCACTCTTGCAAGGAAACAGGAAACTATGGGCAATCCCATAATATTAGGCTTCATCCTCAAGATTCAGAGCAACACCTACACGCTTTTCTACAATATTAATAACGTTCCAAACTATGAATTTGCAAAAGGCACAAAAATATGGGGATGAGCTTAGGATTCACCCTCAGACAGTGGAACCAGAGCGTTGTTTGACATAAGAACCTTTTCTATAACTTGTAATGCTCACCGTAAACACCCAGTAAACCACAACTCCAGAGAAAATGAAGGGATTTTCAGAGAAATTAATTATCATCAAAAGAAAAGAAATGGGTTCTGCAGGGTTATCATTATGATTGTTTTTTTTTTTTTTCCTGAGGAAGAAATACTCTGCAAGCATCAAAATTCCAAAACATCTGGAAGCCTATGAAGCCTGCATTACTGAATCGCTGTGCTGTTTTTTTTTTTGTTGTTGTTGTTGTTTTTGCACTTTTTGGTGCATTTCAGCTAATGAAGCCTCTGGCTGCCGCTTTTATTTGTGAACATTTCTATGTTTACATGTTTTGGGGAGACATTTTACATGTCCTATATATCCTAAATACCCTAAGTGGGGTGGTAGTGAGAGGAGGCTTGTTATTGGTGACTATTTAAGCAGCAAATGATGCTCTGAAACTTTTTAGTGAATCTTTGATTAAAAGTTCCTTGAGTGGCTTGAACCCTTAAACTTTTGTGAGCCAATTATTGTGTAAAATGCAAAGATAACCATCTTTATAAGTGGTTTGTTTACTCACTTCAGAATTTTTACTATTATTTTGTTCCTTTATCCTGTAACCTCAACCAGTAATACGGATTCAGTAAACCTTAGTTTATCCAGGCCTTTGATCCCCACTTGAAAACTACTTTTATTTTATTTTTTAAACTTAGCACAGAAAGTGAGGAACTTTGGTAGATTTTTTCTTTTTGCAACAATGCTTCTTGGCAATAAATCTTGCATATTTGGAAGCCTTGTTAATTGTGCCACATTTGTAAGGAACACATTTGTGGGATGAGCAGGAGCTCATTTCACAAAAGTCAGATTTATAAATTCAGGATATGAACTGTAAACTGAGCTTGAACAAGCCTTCATTTTGTCAACAACTGTAATCTGTTGCTCTAACACCAAAATAAATATATTTTCTCTGTAATATGTTAATGCAAAGAAAAAATAATAAATTTATTATTTGTATAAAACACTGATTTCTGATCAGACACTGTAAAAAATAGCCATCTTAAAAAAAGCTTAAAATACTAGATTGTACTCTGAATCTTTTCAAATGAATAATAATCAATAATCTGCAGTTTGACAGTTGCACTTGGAAAGACTTCTTGAAATGAAAACTTTTCAGGTTAACAAGATTAATAATCCAACATATTCTGATCTTACTTAGTATATCGGTCTAAAAACAAGATCAAAATAC